TAGGTTTGTTTCTATTTTTTGTTTTGTGGTTTTTCTTTTTTTCTAAAAAGAGCTCTCATGATAAGAAGAAGCATCAATGGGGACATTTCATTGTGCTCATATAGTAAGTCAGGATGGTGACAGAAGATCCCACTGCGTGTCAGTTTGAACAAGGGTAAGAAACTCCTTTTGGTTCACACGCTACGACACCAAAACTCACAAAGTGTTTTGTTTCTCCTGAATCTCTCGGTCCACGGCCACTGGTGCTCACGTCAAGGGGCATTGCCTTCATCAGCTCTCTCATTCCTCGCGACTCATTTCTCACTTCTTGAGCTCAGCTTGCATGTGGTCTTTATGCTAATTTATAAATAATTCCTTATTTTATAAAGCAGATACTCTGACAATGTTTCCTCCTGAATACTCAGGAGACTCTGGCCTATCATCTCCTTCAGGTGTGGTGACGGGAGGTGTCGGGATGCTAATTATTGCTGTGGTGACATAAGGCTGCTCACAGTTTAGTTTAACACACTCTTCCACTTTGGCATTTAAGCTGGAACGGCTGGAGGAAGAAACAAAAATCCATGAAGAAATAAAGTCCATGTTACTGCAAACATCTTGTGCTCCTGATTCCATTCCCTCAGCTGGCTATCTCCATCCTGCCCCACCAGAGATCTCCACCCATCCACTCTGTGCCCCAGCAGCAGGTGGTCATGGCTGTGGCCACAGACGGGCCCCCTTTCTCACTTCCTTCCCACCATTTTAGCACTTGTAAAAGTTGTCTGGGCTCATCACCCAAGTGTTTCTGAGGAGGGTAAGCGTTTGACCTGCTCCCTGGGGAGCAAACTTCTCACAGCCACATGGCTTACTGTGCAGGAAAGTAGGAATGGAGTGCTAGTCCCAGTCTCATACCAATTCCTTGGTGCCATGCTTATTTAGGAACATTTTGGGTATTTTATATCCTCAAGAGTAAGACACAGTGATAATGCACTAATGGAGGTTAATGTGCTCATGGAGTTGCTGCAGTACCTCAGCATCATCAGAAACTTGTAAAACTCATACTATTTTGAGGCAGGATTGGCATTTTTTGCTTATGTTTTTGGCTTGTTTTTCTAGCACAAAGCTGATGCTTTGTATTTTTACATAATCTGTGACTGGAAGTACAGTGCAGAAAAGTCATAGAATCATAGAAAGGTTTGGGTTGGAAGGAACCTAAAAGATCATCTGTAGTCCTAACAGAGAAAGGATGAGGCAAGGCAGAGTATTTCATGAAAAGCTATGACAGATTAGAGCTTTGTGCTGGCCAGAAAGTCTCATTGCACAACAGTTGAAAACCTTAAGTAGCTCCAAGCTGCTGGATTGTTCATAGAAGTGAAATCCAAAGCTAGTAAAAGTATACAAAGCAAGCTACTCAAAATATAACTTATCAAGACAATTTCTGTAGCAGCTAGTGCTGAAATGCTTCTTTTTTTTAAAAATGGTGGCATATTTGAGTTCAATAGAAAACACTTCTGAGTCTCCTGAGACCTTTGCTGTGTTTTAAGAGATGGTGTTTGGATATACCAGAAGGCCAGATGGTCTACTTGTGAGAGTACAGAGAATTTCAGTAAATTACAGACTCTTAAACTGCACTTTCCTCACTTTTGCAATAATTCCTCAAACTAGGAAATACATTTTTCTTATCCATTTTGTATGTTTTATTCAGAAGAGTCTGTCAGATGACTATTACACTTACGACTCTGGGAATCAGCTTTATTTCTCTGCTCTGTGGAAGTGCAACAGTCTCATTTATCCTATCCTTCTGAACCAAACTGGTAGAAACAGCAGGGACAGACCTTTCTTTCTCTTCCCACTTTCTCATCTCATATAGCCAAATTGCACATTTTTCCAATGCCAAATTTTTTCTTGTTATTTATTTGTCCATGGCATATGATATTTAATACTCTATTTAATTTGGGGTCTTTGGATGCTATTTTCTGGAAATAGTACACTGCAGTTGGTGGGGAGGGCATGAGAGGGCAGGAACGGATGTAGAGGGAACATTCTGTACTGTAAATAAGGATAAAAAGGAGGAAGATAAGTGTAGGCTGCTTCAGTACTAATGTCTGTGTTTGGATGACTACTTGGCTTTCATCTCTAGCCTCACAGCCTCCCTGCAGAGGCCACACCACCTCTACCTCCCTTTTCTACGGAAGGAAGGGGCTTCAGTTCTTGGTGATGCATGTGGAGTACCTGTTAGACAGAGGCGTCCTCTCCACACATCTGATCTGGATGGTGCTGAGCTCTTGCACGCTGCCGGGGCGGCTGCCGCTGATGGTGGTGTTTGGGATGCGGTAGGTCTTTTTATGTCTGCGTGAGCAGCAAGTGCTGGTAACACCTTGTTGAGACGAGAGAGAGGGGCTGTGGCTGGGGGGTCTGTTGACTGTGGCAACCTCCATACAGCTCTCTTCATAGACTTGCTCATCCACAAATTCGTGGTTCTAGCCCAGAGGAATCCAACAAAGGGACAAAGCACACACAGAAAGATAATTAAAGTGAACATACTAATCATGATTGTTTAAGGGCTTCAATTGACACAACTGAATAAACTGGGAAAGTTAGACAGTTTATTCTTGATTATAGTGTTTAGCCCGTATTAGCCTGGGCTGAATACCAATACAAATGTAAATGCTGGAACAAAAGGCTCAGAGTTCTAAATAAGAAAAAGTTAATCCAAATTATTTTGTAAAATAGCACATGATTGTAACGTGGTTTGCATTTTTAATATCTGTATAATCTAGGAAGTGCCACAAAATATGGGATTATGTTTATTAATAAAAATGCAAGTGGTGCTTATGCAAATGCTGTAAATGTCATTTGGAAATAAATGAGATTTATTGTACCGAATTATAATAAACATCATAAATATTTTCCAGGTGAGTTTATAAAGCTTCCTGTTGAATTGCATGTTAGAAATCGGGATCTAAAACTGTGTTTTGAGGTATTCATCTATGTAAAAGATTCAATTAAACGGAAGTTTATATTAGAGGAGATAAGACAGTTATTTAAAAGCATCAAAAGCTCCCAATTACTGTAGATGGATGTATTGAAAGCAGTTTAGAAGACTGAGGATTTAGTTAAATAAGGTAGTCTTTATTCATGCAGTCTCTGCTTAATCCAAGAGCAGACAGTGGTCTGATAAGGCTGTCATAGAGCTGCATCCACAGTCAAGGAAAGGCTGGTTGACATGGACACAGCAAGTGATTAGGGAGTGTTCCACACATAGCTGTGATTTCCACATTATCTTTGTGTGTGAAAAAGTGTGAAATAGTGGTGGTTATGAGGGAAGAAGGAATTTTTACTGTAATTTTAAATTAGAAGCCCAAATTAGGCAGAGATCACGCTACATTCATGTGCAGTGCAAGAAAGCCTTTCCAAAAATCATCTTTCCAGTTACTACTGGAATCAGTCTGGCTTAGGAAGCATTTTCTGGGTTGTTTTACACTCTACTCAGACTCATTCACTTGAAGTTTGTTAGCCTGCTGTCTCTCTGTGTATTAGAATGAGAAACATGATTTTTTACTCAAAAGATCAATGCACTAATTGGAAAGGTGCTGATGTTTTCCAGGAGAACTACAGCACAGCATTTATGCAAAATATATGAGCAATGTAAATAGAGTAACAACTGTAGCCAAGTGTTTGCTACAAACGGAAATGCCATTATAGGCATATTTTTATTTCCATGAGTGGTGTTAACGAATGTTAATTGCAAGTGGTATGGAAAGAAAGAACTTGCTTGAAAATTGACTCCTATAAGGCGCATGTCAGTCACAATCAATCATATTAAATAGAATATGATCACGAAGTGGACATAACAGTCAGAGAGAAAAATTGCCTTATTGCCAACTTTAGGTTATGTTCAGTAGCTTACAGTGTGTTTGCCAAGAATTGTGCAAGTTTTCCAATTAAAAGTAATTTTGTGCTTTCTATAACTTTTATGGAACAACCAACTCAATTCAATTTTTAGAGTCCATTAAAGAGCGTTATTGAGTGAATTTTTAATATAGATTGGAAACATTCTGAAATGATATAATGGCTTTAGTTAATGTATCTGATTATACTTATTAATTAACTGTTCTCAAATTGGCTAAAACTAGCCTGTAAAATGTAACTTTCAGTGCAATTATTTTCCTTATTAAAGTAATTTTCACAGACTTCCCTACCATTGGCCACACTGCATTTTTAGAGTGGAAGAGATCTTATCCTATTGACTTTAAAGTGCTAAAAACCAGAAAGTATGCCTTCACTTACTATAATCTGAACAGATGCTTATACCAAATGATATTTCAAAGGATGAGACAAGGCTAAGAAGGTACGTCACTCCTGATGTTATACCAGGAATCAGCAACTTGCCTGAGTCCACAAGCTAAGTGTCCAAAATTTCAAGAAATCAAATTAATAGAAATCTTTTTCCATTAATTCTATGAGAGTTTGACAAGATGTGTGGCTACTACTAGAGTTTTTTAATATGTTTGTAATATTACACTGTGGAACAATTTTTAAGGCAGATTGCTATGATCAGATCCTAGTACAAAATGTCTCAAAAATGTTCCAAAAGGCCCAGCCTGAATCTTGGCAAAGAACTACATTATAGTATGAACAGGAAGCAAGCCATACTGTCCTACAGCACATTATATAAAAATGAATACTCCAAAAGTCAGAATGGAGGAGACATAAGCACCTGTGGGATGACACATTGCTATCTAAGTCATGTAACAACTAGAACTAGGCCATTCTACTTACAAAGAAATGCTGTTGAAAGTAGAACATTAAATTATACATATACATACATCGTTCTTTAATTTAGCAAGGTCAGTTGTGGGAAAACTTCTTAATCTCTTTTTTTTCTGAGAAAGAGCAGGAAGACTTTCTCCTTGATCTCCATTGAATATAGCAGAAGCATTACTTGGTCTTTTAATGAAAATCTAAAACTAGACTATAAAGATAAGACAAAATAGTATAAAGTTCTTCTGTATATACAAAACTGAAAGAGAAATAATTTTTTACATGCAACTGGAATTTATAAAACTAGATGTAAATTTGTAAATGTTATTTTAATCAATGTTGACCAACTTTCCTACAATATAAGGTAAATTTTACATGACAATATAACCCCCTGCAAAAAATATCAAAGTGTACAAGGAGGCAATTTTAGTCCTATGTGAATTTACCAAATCTACAAATATTAAATTCAATATAAATATTATGTTCTTAGTTTCCCGAGGAAATTATACAGAGGAAACAATGTAAATTTAGGTATGATTAGGGTTATTTCTGTGATGTTATCTGTCCAGGAATACACTATTAGTAAACATGGCACTTGGTTATTACTGAATCATAACTCTGCTGTAGTTTGCTATCCTTTATGACTGCATAATTATTCTGGTATTGACCAGGGAAAAATATAGAGAGCACATAATAAGTAGTGCTTTTGATTTATAGGGAGTTTCAACTCTAGATGAGCATACTTGGGCTGTTATGAATTACATCAGTAATTTCTACAGGGATCTCAGTGTCTAAACTGAAGCCAAAAGACTTCTAAGCTTTGCACCTGCATCTGGATTAAGCACTTGAATTTCAGAAGAGAATGCTGGAGGATCCTCTGTTACAGCCACTTCAGTGAGAATCGCGTTCATGTCCGAGTCGGCGCTCAGCAGCTCTTCCTGTACAAAAGCCTAGTGTTTGCTCAGGCTAAAACTTGCTTTGATTGCACTGAGTATTGCATTTGTAAGAATTACAAATTGTGTTTTATGAACTGTACTGCAGAAAAGTGCAAATGAAAACATTATGGAGTGTATGAAAAGCATACTGAAGGCCACATATACAGCTTAGCTGTACTGATACCATTTCCCTGGTGCCTGTATCTTTCACCTTAGAAGAGGCTCACATGCAGACTCTGTTGTTTATATATAGTGGATATAATAGCTTAAAATAGGATTAAATGGCTTTTCTTCCCAGTTAACTGCTTTCATATAAAGGCTTATTAATTAGGAGAAATACTGAAAACATTCAACACTAGGCCAGTGTTGGAATTCACAGGAAAACACAGTTATCTTTTCTTACCGTAGTTTTTTCCAGGCAGTGAAGCAGGTGGTGGTGCTGTGTTTCAAAGGCAGAGCCAGCTTTGCCAACAAAGGCCTGTTCTTCTTCACCGGAGGACTGTTGATACATAGAACCCCGTATTATTCTCATTTGTGAACAAGAGGGCTCTTATCCAAATATTTGATTAGAACTAATCTGGATTGTACATAGTAGCATAGCTTTAATGCTTTATCTACATGGTAAAACCCAAATAATTTTGGACCTGAGTTCTCTTTTGCTTGTTTTTTAATAAAAATATTTCCCTTCCTTCCCTTCTACCTCCATTTAAATGTTTCCATATTTTATATGCATAGACAGAATACTACAATTTACAAGTGCAATCAACATGTAAGCTTTGAATGTTGAATCAACGCATACTTTATCATAAATTTAAGTGACAGTAAATTTATTTTTTTTATTTTTTATTTTTTTTTTCCCTGGGAATGTGCCTCATTGGAAAGAAATTAAACATATTTGTCCTCCTGGGATAATTTCATAGTACTAAAGAATTTCTGGTATTGCTGCTTACATGAAAATTCATGTCAGTGATCCCAATCTGCTGAGTTTGGAAAACATATAGCAGATGTTTCTGACACAAAATGAAGTAGAAAGCATCCACTGTTTATTAATTGCTTTCATAATTATTCATTAGAAAGCAGAAAACTAAATAGAGTAGGAAATGGGATAATAGAAAAGATTACAATTCAACTTTGGGATATTTTAAATCTGCATGGCAATTAAGCTATTTAGTGTCTTTTTAGTTCAAAGATTTTAGTTCTTTCAAGCAGGAGAGGAAGCGAGGGCTCTGACTACTCGTCTTTTGTGCTAGACCGGGCGGATGGACAGACAGCCCCTTCCTCCTCTTCTGGCTATAGGTTAAAGCCTTCAGCTTTTAAACACGTATTGAACAGAAAGGGCATAGAGGAATGAAAGCTTTCCTGTATCCCTCGGGGAATGGCCAAAATGCCAGAAAATGTCAGGGATTAAAATACACCGTGTCTTCATTGTTTCTCAGCTGGCCACAGCTCCGAGCAGCCAAGGCGCTGTCTCTGACAGTGCGGGTTGCTGTGGATCCCAGTCCCAGCCGCTGCCCGAGGCTTCTGCTCCAGGTCCTGGCTTCCTCAGCAGGGATAAGGGGGGAATCTGCTTCAAGTAGCATTAGATTTCAGTGCATTGGTGATAATCACGAAGATTCTCCTCAGAGCAAAGTAGGTGCTTCCAGGGAATACTTTCTACTCTGCAACACTCTCTGCAAATGGTGCCCTGGAGCTACCTAAAGATTTTAGTTCTTTCAAGCAGGAGAGGAAGCGAGGGCTCTGACTACTCGTCTTTTGTGCTAGACCGGGCGGATGGACAGACAGCCCCTTCCTCCTCTTCTGGCTATAGGTTAAAGCCTTCAGCTTTTAAACACGTATTGAACAGAAAGGGCATAGAGGAATGAAAGCTTTCCTGTATCCCTCGGGGAATGGCCAAAATGCCAGAAAATGTCAGGGATTAAAATACACCGTGTCTTCATTGTTTCTCAGCTGGCCACAGCTCCGAGCAGCCAAGGCGCTGTCTCTGACAGTGCGGGTTGCTGTGGATCCCAGTCCCAGCCGCTGCCCGAGGCTTCTGCTCCAGGTCCTGGCTTCCTCAGCAGGGATAAGGGGGGAATCTGCTTCAAGTAGCATTAGATTTCAGTGCATTGGTGATAATCACGAAGATTCTCCTCAGAGCAAAGTAGGTGCTTCCAGGGAATACTTTCTACTCTGCAACACTCTCTGCAAATGGTGCCCTGGTGCTACCTCTTTCCCTCAGTGGTGATGGTTTTGTCACCCATGTTCTACTTGTATAAAGCCAATGAGACAAATCCAACCCATCTCACAAGAGGCAAACGCTGTACTTTGTTAATGAGGTCTTCTAGGGGATCGAACTCTTAAAAATGTGGGTTATACTTGAATCCTGCATTTCTATCTGGCCATTTCCCTCATCTTCCAATATCTCATCATTGACTCTCATAAGCTTCCTTCAATAATACTAATTATCCAATTTCTCCTTCCTTAATCTACCTCTAAAGGTAACACTACCTAAACACCCAAGTTGACTTGCCCTGGTGATAAACAGAATTAGCCATTTCTGGGCTGTCATTAACTGCTTCTCTGGAGGTGGAAGATATAAAAACATTACCTGCTGCAGCTGGTTACTCAGTAAGCCATTTCGTTTGCTCTGCATGTAGGCATTAGCACTCCCACTCTTTGCTGCACGAATTCGAGCAAGTCTGGCTTTCTGTGTAAACAGACAAAAGGAAGAAAGTTACTTGTACTCATATCCATTATTCTATTCATCTAAATCTGCTAATTGGAATCAGCTGCTTAGAAATACCAGTATCACAACCACTGAAAGGCTGCGTAGCATCCGTAATCCAGGTGGAGCAAATCATAAGCATCTTTCCATTTAAAATGCAAATGGCAGAAATTTTTATTTGTTTAGGTGCATCAGCTAATAAGAACAATGATTGTGGAGAAGGGATTAGACAGACCAGCAGAAGTGTCTCATTTTTTTATTTTTATTTTTTTTGCATTGCTGCAACTGTGTCAGTCCTTATGACTTGTGGGGCAGGAACACAAGCATCCGTCTCAGCTGCTCCTGCAATGAAAATCTATTTAAAGGGGAATAAATAATTCAGAAAAAATGTAATAGTGCAACTGCTGTAAGCTGCTTTCTCAGAGCCTTCTGGTTTATTAGAGTAGCAGATTGTGAGTGTTCTTTATGCTGTGTCCCAGGTAAGTTCCTGAATGCTTGCCACGCCTTTTAAAAGACATTTTACCTCTTCATGTCTATTGGTATAATCAGACTTAATAATTGTCATCATTGGTCATAATCGGTTTATAATCTGATATTTCAGAGATGAGAGGTGCCAAATTGCTGCGAGACGTCTGAGATTTCTCAGGTGAGCTTCATTGCATGTGAAGGTGACCTTCATCCCAGAGTGGGATGAATGGTGGATCATGAGTGAAGGACACTGCATCCACTGACATTTGTACAGCAGTTAGAAGCCAACATTAGAGGAAAGCACAAAGAAAAGACCCTCTCAACCAATAACTTAGAAAATAGAAGATTTTATGGGATTCATAGGGTGGCATCCTTGTTCCTTAATTTTGTGGTTGTTTACATGTGTAAGAGGGAGGCTGAGGTTATCTTCATGCATAGGTTTCTGATTCTGAAAGCCAAATGCCAAGCAGCATCTGGAGCTGAATGCCTGCTGAAGCAGAGAAGGAGACACAGTAAAGAATTTGAAAATCTGACTGATAGATTATTAGGGTTTTCTAATCTGATAATTAGTCAGTTGATATTTTCAGAAAATAGAAGGAACATTTTCCCCTCCTCCCCAATTTTTGTGGCATTTAAAGTCAGCAAGAAATAATTGAGAATCTCTGAACACTTAGAAAGGGAAGCAGCCTGGTCACTTCAGCTGCCAGATCTCTCTATTAATTGACTATGAGGTATGACTCAACAGCACATTGCTTTGCACTCACAGCCTGAAACTCACAGAAGATCTTCTCAAGAGTGAGCCAAGAAATTCATGACAGCTAACAGCAAACATGGCTGGGATCTGGCTGATGTTCTCTATCATGTATTTATTATCTTTCAATTGTTCAGAAATAAAATTTAAAAATGCTGTTCATGTGTGTGTCACTGAGTCAAAGAGCTCATATGAGAGACTTTTTCCTGATTTTGTGATATATTGGCCATTTTAGAATAACACATTGGTTAGTCACCTCCCTCGGAGGGCACAGCCTTTCCAGCACTGCTGTTCATGCACTTTATTGTAGCAGTGAGGAGTGAAGTGCCCGGATCACCTGCACAGTGCTTCTGAACAGGTGAATTCCTACCTCCCCCTTCCTCCTGCTAACATTGAAAGGACACCTTCAGCCTCACACTAGGTCACCCTGAGCAGGTCCCCAGGGGCTGGACTGGGGGTACGTGTCCAGTCAGGGCTTTTTCACAAAGCACCATGGCTGAGCAGCCCCGGGCAGCCCAGCGTGCTGCCGTGAGCCACGCAACGGGGCAATGTGCCAGGGTGGCCTGGGGTCCTCAGGAACCCACAAGTGGGGCAAACCATCAACAACTCCAACCCTCTGGGCTCACACAGGTTACTTGGTGGCACATCCCAGGCCAAGGATGTGGTGAGGGCTGAATACTCAGGGTTGGCAATTAAGAATCTCTTGGGCAGGCAGAAAACCTGCCGCTGTTGAGATGCAACACCAGCACGATGGGCTGAAGGCTGGGGGAAAAGGTTTACCTGCAGCACTGAGGAGTCATGGGCTGGGACATGTGCACTGGGTTATGTTCATAAATATATTAAAAGTCTCTCAGCTCTGCTGTTTAGCCGTTGGAGTTTGAAATACTTTAGAGATGCCTTTGCAGGGTGCAACATGGAGCCCCATAAATAAGTTATTTCAATCACAAGTGTTTTAGCTGTGGTACTTTTCAGAGTGCTCCTTATACAGGGAAATTAATTAGATTTAATGAACAAACATTTTGCATACATTATTTAGGCTTTGCTTTTTAGCATGCATATTCATTTCTTCTTTCAGTGATTGAAGAAATAATTATGGTGCAGCACCATTTAATAAAGAAATATAAAAAATATAGCAGTTCATCAGAATATCTTAATGTCAATATGCTACAACACATACAGTCCTAAGGTTGTACTTGCAATATGAAGATTTCAAATTGCTTTGCTAATACGAATTTATTGTGTCTTAGAAAGCTTTTGTGAGGTGGAAAGTAATAGCTTACATCTTTCTAGCTGAGACTCATTCCGATTACTTGAATTTACACCATGTAACAAAGAGAAGACAATAAATCTCTTACTAAGACAAGAACCAGATATTGTGGCTTTCATACTTATACTTCAGCTTACTAAAACAGTCCTGAAACTGGAGGTGTTTACAAATTTGTTAAAGTGATAAGTTTTCTTTTCAGTGCTTCTGCCTGATTTATATCAGAGCCTGTAGCATGAGTAGTCTAGTGACTCCTCACATTTCCTACCAAGAAATCATTAAAAGCTCATGTCAGTTACAGGATTTTAAGGGTTGTGCTGGGGGTTGAATTCCCATGAAGGACAGCAAAATTATGTGATGACATCAGGAAAACTGTGATTACAGAAGGATTGTATTTTCTTTTAGCCTCTGAACTGCATTCTCTCTCACGTACAACAGGAGTGATAAATGCCCCTCTGGCTACTGCAAAGCCCTTTCTAACTCTCTCCCCTTTCATGGAATACCTACGGAAAAAAAAAAAAAAAAAAAAGGATTAAGTTCTCCTGCAGTAGATTGTCTTCTTTACTGTGAGGTTTTCTCTGTTAGCCATTGAATGTGGAGCTCTGATTCTGGTAATCTTTATACTGTCTAGAACAAAACTAATGTAGCTGAAGTAATCAATTCCTTTCATTTATTCTGATCATATTCCACCCTAATCATCTTGTCTGAAACTTCATAAAGAAGCTGATGATCAGCTCTAATTCTTAGCTCATCCCTTGTATTTGCACTGAACTTCTCTTTTGAATGCATCAAGCTTTTTTTTAGCTTCAAATTACAGAACTTAGAGGTGGATCCTCATCTATGGCTGCATTTATAGAAGCCTTACAAAGTTATTCAACAACATCTAGCTCTGTCAGTTTTAGAAATATAAACATCTATTTTCACGAGGCTTTAAATACTGCTAAATGTAGCACTGTGGGGTATTTACAACATCCAGCTTTTAACACTCAGGATGTCCTCAGCTATTCAGCTGTGTTAAGAGAGAGATTTTATCAGGAACACTTTAGGGTTGGTCTTAGGGTTGGTCTTACTGCAGTACTGGCAATAATTTTTGGCAAAAGCCTCTTGTCATTTTCCTACACAAGAAGCCTAGGTAGCCTAGGTTATATAGTACTTGTACAGCTCCTATTGTGCCTCTTCTGCTGCTTTCCAGACTATGCAATTATCTTACTATCAAAACTCAAAATATACTCATTAATTACCTAGTATTTATCAATTTTTAAATATCTTATATGACTAAAATATAAGGATTCCTTCACCATCATTCTGTGTGCTGATTTTGGTTTGGATAGTGTTAAATATCTTCATAGTGCTGATATGGGGCTTTGTTTTGGATTTGTGATGAAAACAGTGTTGACAATATGAGGATGCTTGAGCTACTGCTGAGCAGTGCTTACACAGCATCAAGGCCTTTTCTGCTTCTCACTCCACCAGTGAGCAGGCTGGGGATGCACAAGAAGTTGGGGAGGACACAGCCAGGACAGCTGATCCCAACTGACCAAGGGGATATTCCACACCATATTGTGTCATGCTCAGCAATAAAACTAGATGGGGGTGGAGAGTGGCAGGAGCTGCCCTTGCGGTAAGACAGAGCAAGGGAATAATTTTGTTGGTTGTGAGCAATTATTTTGGTTTATTTTTTTCTCGGTTTTGGTTCCTTTTTGCATGTTTACCCTTCTGACCCTCCCCTACATCCTGCTGGGGAGAAGTGAGCAAGCAGTTGGGTGGTGCTTAGCTGCCTCCTGGAGTTAAACCTCACCACTGTGGCTTCTAGAGTAATAACCAAAATAGTAAAAAAAAATAGTAACATTCTTGTCTACATCATTATTTATTTGGTCTTTCATAATCCATCCTGTATGTTTGCTTTCAAATCAGGCCCACATTTCATGCTCTGATTTTCTAATTTTCAGTAATTGCAAATAACTGACTTCAGATTAGCTGACAATAATTTATAGGATGTCAGCATGCAACAAAAAAAGAAAATGCTGCTTATTTTGTACATTAATGGATATGGAATTAAATAAGGTTCATGTATTTGCTGTCATGCCTTGCTTTCACAACCTGTTATTATTGTTCAGTAAACACAAGTTTTCGATGCTTTTGTGCTAAACTCAAAAATCTTGGGTAAATTATTCTGCTAGTTCTGTTTCTGCAACCCCACTGAGATTATTAGCTTACTTAATTTAAAGAAGTCATAATGGCTAGCAGGCTTCCTACTGCAAATGCTCAGCTCTAGACTGCCAGGTGCTGTTAAGCAGTTGTTGCATTTTATCATAGAGCTATTTATATTTGTCTAGTAACTAATTATTCATAACTTGACAGATACATACATCATGTATAAATAAATAATAAAGTTAAGCCAATCTTCAGGATGTATTTTTCTATGTAAAGTAAGAAGACCATATTCACATGAAAGTTGCAGGTTGATTTTTATGTATGAAGTAGGTTTTGGAGATTATAGTTGCTTGGGTGTTTTGTTGAAGCACCATGCACAGTCACTCTAGAGAGAAAGTGCTTGAGCAATCAAAATTAAGGCTCAATTAATGAACAATAACGGGCAGATGGACCCACACTTAGGACTTAGGTTAAGAGGACACAAGGCTCTTGCCTTCAAAAGATGCAGAAAAATAGATATATGGAAAATGGGGAAAGCATCCAGCAAGTAATGCTTCATTCAAGCTAGGGAGGATTTTTGCTTTGTAAGAGCTGCTGCACTATGTTGGGATGCAGCAGACACCTGTTCCAAGGGGGTAGCTATGCCTTCCACTTTCCCTTCCCTGTGCTGGTAGTCATCCCAGTAAATAAGACACTGTGAGGGTCTAAACGTGTCTTAAGCCTTGATACCTATCCCATATGGAATAAGAAATTGTATCCAAGCTATCTAAACTTTTTTTTTTTTTTTCTTCCCATTCTTTCCTTTCCCTTTTTCTTCCTTTCCACTCCTTTATAAATGGACTAGTCACAACATATCTGTCATTAACATTGCCACCTGGAAGTACTGATGAGCAAAAGACCTTGGTCTTTTTAAGTTGTCACTAGCTGAGAAAAGCTCCACAAATAGAATTCTTCAAAACTGTCTTAGTAGTGATAAATCTGCTTCAGGAAAAGGCATGGCAAGACTGCAGGGCATAACTAGTTGTGCCTTAAATTCCAATATTTATTTTCAATTATTTACTTATGTACAAGATAGGTGACATCCTTAGGCCTTATTATGTGATAGAAGAAAATATTCTGATAAGCAAAGATGATGCTCCTTTATTCTTCATTTTCCTCTCTTTGTTTTGTTTTGTTTAGATTGAGGTCTCTTTTACAACAATGTATTTCCATGATTGGAAGCAGGAGTTTTCTTTAAAATGCATTTAAATGAGATGGTATACAAATAAATTTCACTCTTCCATCTTCTCCTGAGTATTAATGCGTAACATCTTTTTGCCAAAAAGAAACTAATGGAAATATCTAATCTTGATGACTATGCAGAACACAGCACATATAATTATGGTCACATAGCTCATGAACGAACTTAATATAAAAGACAAAAAATTTTCTGCTGAAAATTGCCAGTGCTCCTGGGACTAATTTCAGCTCCTCAATGGAGAACTTTTTCTTGAGTTTCTTTCCAGGTCAAATGTTTTGCCATTTCTGAATACTACCTTGATTCAGCTTCTGTATGAGATATTGATAAAGTATCTGCTCAACTGCTGCTCAACTGAAATATACAACTCTCTATCAGATGGAAGCTGTTGTTGCCAGCAGGAGATACCATTGCCTGCAGGATTTCAAGCTGTAATCCATGAAACAGCATCTTATTTCAAGCTTATGCTCTTCAACCTTAGAGAATAGATTGGTGCCTAGGGAAACACATTTTAGAAAATGTGTAAAGCTTCTGTTGTGTTGAATGAAGAAGGAATTTCAGACTTCAATAATGTGACATTTTTGTTTGAGTATTATTATAAAATGCGGTAGAACCCTTCTGTGAAATGCAAGGCTGTACTTTATAGCTCAATATGGACTATACTATACCAAAGAAATGCTTGTAGTTGATTTTTTTTTCAGTTTATCAAAACAATATTCAATTCAACATCTCAGTCATTTTAGATTGAGAGATATTAGCTTTGCAATAGGAGACATCGATTAAACACCCATCCAGTGCTAAGTTAATCAGACCTCAAAGCCATTTTCTCCAAAGCAAGAAAGGCATAAACATTGTCAAAGGCAATCTCTCATCCTTACTGTTGGCATTGTTCTGGGGAGCAGAGGAAAAGACACTTGGCAGGATTGCCATTCATCACTTCATATTCCTGTTTGGAACATACAATGAGCTCACTGTTTTGCAAGGAGAAAAAGTCAGTTATTATCTCAAGCAGTTTCTATTCATGAAGAGATTCTGAGGAATAGCAGCCAGTCTGCCAATCTAATTTTTGCAAGGTATTTTCTAGTGCCCATTTATTTTTTACTGGCAAGGGTAAAGCAGGCACAGAAAATTCTGTTTCACGACATGCAGTAGGACACAGTTTCTATCTGAACTAAGGCTGGTTGTGTCTGCAGTTATTATGAAAGCTCAGAACAGTCACATTGATTGCTGGGATCAAGCAGATCTGTTACCCATGACTGGCATAACAGAGGCCCTGTAATAAAGCCCTGTGTTCAGGCTGGTACTGTTCTTTCTCAGTCTGCTGCTGTTACACAAACAGAAGTGAAAAAGTTCTTAACAAAACCAACACAGTGTAGACGTGGTATGTTCTCTGCATGTTACAGCTGTGGGAGAGGGAAATGCACAGCTGGAACTAGAAAATGGGACAAAATGGCATGCAAAAGGGTGAGTGGAAATAGTAGATAGGTAAAAGGTATGGAATTTGAAGCAGCCTGTATTTGTAATCAGGTTCCTAAAAAGATCAGACATTTCTGTGATATGCCTGGTTTCTCTTACATCCATTTTCCTCATCTGAAATAATTCTCAAAGATGTGGCCATTAAGGGATCTTCAGCCTGGGCCTATGTACCTCTTGGCCATGTACCTCTTCATACTTGATCATGTTTCTCCTGATTTTAAGATATTCTGGGAATGGTATCACCACATACATTTACATAGCTTCCTTTTTACGAAGAAATCAGCCAAAAAAGGTGGCCAGAGAGAAACACACAAACGTTTTGCGTCTTTAAACCTGATGCTGTTGTCTGTGTGAGGGAGATGCAGCCTGAAGCTGCCTGTGTTCCCTGACCTGTGTATGTAGGCTCTAGCCATGGCTTGCCTGCACACTTCTGTGGGCAGGGATCCTCTCTCCCTGGATCACTGGAGACCTAGAACCTGGTGAGAGGCCATAGGGCCATAAAAAACCAAAGTGGTGACACCTCAGCCTTGACAATCTTGCAGTCTCTGTTGTATCCAGAGCTTCTGACTGCCATCAGCTGAGGAGCAGAAGGTAATACAGCTCAGCTTCCTTGTCAGGGCTTTAGCTACTCATAGAGGCCATCTGAGCTGCTTAGCATCACAGCCTTGGGTGAAGTGGATTGGGCCTGGTACATTGGCAGTAATGTGTAGATGATGGTGACTGTCCAGGTTTGGCTGCATGTGTCCTGGTAAATAGTTCCTCTTGGCTCCTGACCTTGCCTTCATGGGTCAGGGAGGGAAACTGTCTTGTAGAGCTAGTTGCTGTTCTAGTGAGAGATTCAGCAAATCAAGGAAGCTGGAAAAACAAACTTTTGCTTTCAGCTTTTCCAATTAAAGTCTCTGAAGCCTTTTAAGCAAAGTAAAGCTGAGAAGTCAAGTTCCCCAATAATAAGATTCTGCAGAGAATGAACCTGGGAATTAAATACATAGATTAGTGAAGCAGGCTCTTAGGATAGATGTTAAAAATAATGATTAGGGGTTTTTTTGTTTGTTTCTTTGGTTGTGTTTTTTTCTCAGAGGACTCTGGTGGAAAGAAAGTCTACCTGAAAAACACGGAAAAATCTTCAGTGGGTAGGACTGCAGATAATTCCTGAAAATATCAGGTCTAGTCTAACAAGCAGGATGAATTACCACAATAGTGTATCTGTAAATTTTGACAGAAAAGATGAATGAACCAGTTTTGGTTGTGGTTTTCTTTTGTTCCTTTGCCCCAGCCCCTAAAAATAGTACTTATTTTGCTAAGAAATACTCACTTTGAGGATGCATAGCCTATAGAAAGTTGTATTTTATCTATTGCTTAACAACAAAAGGAGAAAAAAAACAGGAGCTCACCTTTTGTGCTCTGCGCTTGTCTGCTCGTTGATTCTGGTGGTAGATACGGCTGAAGTTGGAGACGATTACAGGAACTGGCAGAGCAATGACCAAGACCCCACTCAGAGAGCATATTGAACCAAAAATCTTGCCAGCTATTGTCTTTGGCACCATGTCACCGTATCTGGGTTAAAGAAAACAAAACACTTAGTAAAGACAAAATCTCTTCTATGTATTGAACTTCAAGACTAACTAATTGCACAATAGATTTTGCTTCTCTTGCAAATAACACTCACTGCATATAAATAATACTTCACCCACATATGCATACATATACAGCATGCCCAGTGTTGTGCACTTGTGGTTTTAATTTGAAGCTATTTTGGGTATCCTGTCCATCAAACTGTGGGCATCTATGTTTTGCCTGCTGTAGTCTTGCCAGGCTGCCTCCATTGCAATAGAGAGAGAGTGACTTTGCTAAAGAAAAGAAAAATCAGTGTTGAAGTGAACCTCTTTCTCTGCTTGCTTATTAGAAGAACTCACCACTTTCCATCGTCAAGATCCTAGGGAGGCCACTTGGTAAGTTAGATGGCAGGCTGAATAATCTGTTGTCTCACTTAAGTTGATACAGTACTTTCATTTTGGAGGGCAGCACATTTTGGAACAGGTTGCCCCGGAGATTGTGGCTTTTATCCTTGGAGATTTTCAGCAATAGCATGGCTGACCTAACCTACTGCTGTTGATAGGCCCCCTTTGAGTGGGAGGCTGGTCTATCTGACCTCCAAGCCTCCTTATATGGTCTAACTGAAAGCAAGCAGGAGAAACTCAAGCCAAGAGCAAGAAACCAAACAAATTCTGACTGCAAATCCTGGCAGTGCTCAGAATTCTTTGGGCTACCACCTCTCTTTATGCTGCTGGGTATTTTGTCCCACAAGTAAGAACATAGTGCTCCTGAAGTATGTAGAGGCACTCCAGTGACAGCTTATTAAGAGATACCAGCTCTTTGCACGCTCTGGACTACCATACTCTGTAGGACAACTATGTAATTACATGCTACAGAGTTTAATAAAGAGATAAATTAGTTTCAAATACCATTCTGTTTTTAACTTTACTGAATTTCAAGTTATTATTAGACATTGATTGTAGCATGAGTTTAGCATGCTTGTGAGCTGGGACCTGATACAAGCAAAGGTAAGAAATAAATCTGCAAGGAGAGGCATTGTAAAATGCTACCTGGAAAACAAAACCTGTCTGTCTGTTCATGAGGAATTGAAAAAAAAATATAGGGAAGATGGGAGGAATCTTCAAGTGATATGGTCCCAATATGCACCTAATCATGAGAAGAGGATAAAAGGTTGAGGATAACAGATGAAGAAGAATCTGTATGGGGTTAGAGAACACTTTCTAGCAATGACAGCTCAGCGTATGTCAAAAGGAGATTATGTATTGTGTTGTAGGTGAAGATGGATGGTTTGAATTTTGTAAGTGTAGAAGGTGTTTAATTTAAATATTCACACAAGTTGTCATCCAGGCAGATGCAATATAGATGACCAAGTCTTAAACTATGACAAATATTATGTTGTGTAAAGCAAATGTTTATTTGCTTTGCAAAGCAAGCCCAAGTGTAAAATATTCACAGGAAAAAAATAAACAAATTAATATTTCTAGTAATAAACCCCTCACCTGCTCAGAACTTGGATGCTATTAGTTTCTGGTTTTGTAACATGCAGAATTGGATAAGAATCCATTATGTAATGGAATCCATCTTCTAAATTATTAATATAGTTGGTCTTAATTATGAGATACATAAAACTGGAAAAATACTAGAAATAGAGTCATGATTTTCTTCACACCAACATTCACACCTCACTACATATGCATTTTTGGTACTTATCTTCTTAAAGCCAGAGCCCACGATTGGCTGTCAGGAATGATGTATGCCCAGCTGTTCTTTCCTTTCAGCAGGGAAGTGGATAAAAGACCTTTCAAGGTCCCTTTGACAAATGGGATCCCCGACACCTAACTAACCCCAGCTTTTTTCAGGCAGGGCGATGAAGAGAGCATTGGGCACAGAGCCAGGGTTGTCAGCTTAGGGCAGAAGTCCTAGGATCAAATCCCTGATAGTCATTGCTGGTTTACAGTATTTGCTACTATTTTACTTCATCCTTTTAGATACAATCCAAGTATTTTCTTACATTGAATAAAATGTGTTGACAGAAAGTTATTCACAAGACAATATATATTTACACACATCTGACACAACCAGATCTTGAAATACAAAATTTTACACACTCTCAGTAATACTGGAACAGATTCCTTATATTAGATTCCTAAACCTATATTTAGATGCCTATCACTTGAAATGTTAAATTGCTGAACCTTCATAAGCTCACATTGTCACCAATGGCTGCTGTGGATAGAAGGCATTGCCAGCTGTAATTAATTTGGTTTGAAGTTGCTCAGGGATATAGTTCATCCTGTTAATAATGTGACATTATAATTATGTGAATCAAGTGCAGACCAATGCTTTAGGAGTGATGACAGGAACCATTAGCTGATCCATCTCTAACATTTCAGTATTTATGTGTGGACTTTCCCACTGACATAAGGAGATGCCTCTTCACAGTATTTCAGTGTTACGGAACGAAACAGAAAAACTAGGATTTTTTTGATACATGAAGGTGTTTTACAATTCTTTTCTACCTTGTGGACCAAATGACAGATAGATGGATATACTGCTTATTTTTAAAAAAACAAACTAAAAATTATTTTTCTATTTCAGCTTGAATAAATTGTAATACGGTGATATTTTCCAAATGTAACGTTGTTTGCCCCTTGTTTAGTGCTGATAATATCTTACACGACATTAATAACTCCTACATAATTAGTTTTTCTCCTGTTGATAAACACTGTGTTGGAGATGGTGAAATAATATTACAGTCAGAAAAAATTATTTCCAAGGAATTAGCCTTCCTGCACAAGGTGAGATACATAATTGTTCATGTTTGTGACAAAAGAGTTTTTACTACATTTGTCCTGGTTAGCCTTGCTCTCCTTTGGGACAGTGACACAGATTTTAGTCTAGTGTAGGCATGACCAGAATTGTTAATCAAGTTCCTCCTGTTGGATTAAAAATTACCTTTATTTGTACCTCATAAATCACTGGATGCCACCAACAGAAGTGGGTGACACAAAACAAAGGGAATATTTCTTCCTTTGCCCACCAGTAGTTGCTTTATTCCTTGGAAAGTCTAAACTAAGAGAGAATATAACTCAATTTTCAGATGGCAGGGTAGCTTTGTGGTGCTTGTATTTCAAAGTGGAAATTTATACTTGATCTCTAAAAGAAATTCTAAATTTTGCAGAAAATCTGATCTCTTCAGTCATGGAGGCAACAAATAAGGAATCTTATTAAGCAATTTTCACAGAGTCACTTTTCAAAAGGAAACTATTTCAAGGTTTTATCTAGTGCTACCCTGCTTGTCTCACTGCTTTTCAGACTATAACTGCAGGCCTATTCTCCTTTCTGTGTTTTTTCTCCTAGTTGCATTCTTTTCCTAAGTTTGTACATAGTCTGTTCCACATATGTCTATTATTGTGGCCAAAGCTCAAGTCAGTTTTTGGGCATTTCTGATTTGTACTGACAATCTAATTTTTGTCATGTCAAAAGTGTCATCTCAATATTGTTTGCTCAGGATGAATGAAGAAAAAGAAATGTTATACTGATCCATGTTATCAGTCAGGTACATTCTACTTCATTAGCCAAAGTGAGAAGGGAAAGGTCATGACAAACTAGTTGTGTCAATCAAGTTCTATCAAATCACAAGTCAGAAACCACATGATTGATTCTCCTCTTTTACTCAGCTCTGATGAGACCCCACCTGGAGTACTGTGTCCAATTTTGAAGCCCTCAAGAAGGACATGGAGCTCCTGGGAAAAGTCCAGATAAGGGTCATGAAGATGATCCGAGGGCTGGAGCACCTCTCCTATGAGGATAGGCTGAGAAAGTTGGGGTTGTTTGGAGAAGAGGAGGCTGTGGAGGGACTTGATAGTGGCCTTCCAGTATCTCAAGGGGTCCTACAAGAAAGCTGTGGAGGGGCTTTTTACAAGAGCTTGTAGTGAGAGGACAAGGGGTAATGGATTAAAACTGGAAGAGGGGAGATTTAGGTTGGACATTAGGAAGAAATTCCTTAGTGTGAGGGTGGTGAGACACTGGAACAGGTTGCCCAGGGAAGTTGTGGAAGCCCCATCCCTGGAAGTGGTCCAGACCGGGTTAGATGGGGCTCTGAGCAACCTGATCTAGTGGGAGGTGTCCCTGTCCATGCAGGGGGGCTGGAACTGGATGATCTTTAAGGTCCCTTCCAACTCAAATTAGTCTATGATTCTACAATCAAACTAACTCCTGGGTTTCACTAGATGGAGTCCAGACAGGTCAGACACGCGCTACTGCTTGCGCTCCGTGGATGTCTGGTCACTAAGAGACATGGTACAGGATGGATGGATTTAAATGCACGGATCTTTGTCTGGGTTGTTTTTATTGGACAGGTGACAGACCACTTTTGTATATTTGACTCCTTACTGCAAGGGAAGACAGCAAGGCAGTGGATTCCTTTATTTTGCAAATACTGCAACTTTCAGAGTACTGATCTGAGTAACAAGGACATGATTTCTTAGCGCTTTGCATAACAGATTTGGGGGTTTAAAATGCAGCTTGGCTCACACACAAAAGGCTGAGCAGTTGTAGGAGCTAAGAAACAGGAATATATTTGGGTTTACATATGCCCAGACTCTAACCTAACTATTCCTACATCAGGTCTTACCTGCCAAAGCAATAATGCTTTTCTAACTGAGGAGAGGGATATCTCTGATGTTGCATACCCATAATTAAAAAAATCTCAGACAACAGAAGTTGTACTACTGCCACCGTCAGCTATTTATCTTATTCCTGAATCTACTAGGTTGTGATGGATCTAAGAAGGAATATTTTATAAGTGAAATATCTGAATTATAATTGAAACAAGTCATAACCTTTGGCCATTTTTCCTGGATGTGATGGATTTTTTAAAATAAACTTAACAAATGAGGGGCAACATTGGTTATTTAACTTCTGTTTGTTTGAATACAAAAGTATTTTTTTTCAAGCAAAAAGTAAGTGTGCATTGGAGGATAAGTAATTACAGAAGT